ACCTGCCGAAATTACTCGTGTAATAATGCATTCTTTTGAATCAATTTTTCAATATTTGTTTTCTAGAAATGAAACTGGGAACTTGTCCTACATCACCACTATATTTACAAAATAATTAGGCACGAAAAAGTGACATAATTGTGATTCATATTTGACCTTTGTAATGTACGAATTCTTTAGAAATGTTTAAACATATTGTTAAAACAAACATTGTGAAATGTTGTGACGATCCTTACGCGATGGTGTCAAATAATCTTTAATGAGTTTATAGGTACCACTTGTTTACAATTAAAGATCATAATCTTGAAAATATTTAGTGCCGTAATAAAAGTTAATCGCAATGATGGAACAATTTTTTTAAGAAGGACCAAAAGGAAGTTTTACGTCATATTAAGTAGATTTGTTACTTCATTGTTATTAATCGTGCGACATGCGTCAAAAACGTACAGAAGATTGTTTGGGGGGAGAAAGAAATGGGTTTTGAAATAGACGTAAATTATATTTATGTAGTGACTTTTTGTTATTCATATCTTAATGATATTATTGGTATATAATCATCTAATTTATCAATTTTTTAGGTTTTTTATTATTAATTTCTCCAAAAATAATTTAATTTTGATGACATTTGGTGAAACTATACCTTTGTATGTCTTAAATCTTAAATAAACAAAAAAAAAATTAAAAATCATAATTTTATTCTTGATTGTGTAAGTAAATTTATTTTTAATTTAATTTTTGATTTATCTTATGTAATAAATAGTTTTAAAGTATATCCCTTGCTTTATGATGACCCCATATATTTATTTCGCAATGTGTATCAATAGCTTAGACATTTTCCACTGAATTATATTTAAATATTTGTTGGTAAAGATTACTGTCAACCAAAAAATATGTCCACAGCTTAAAAAAAACCAAGATAATTCTACAATTTTATTTAACTTGAACAAATGAAAATGAGGTCACAACTTAAAGCTATTTTTAAAAGTAGACAGGTATAGTGAGTGACACACTAAGTTTATAGGTACATTTTTTTTTAAATAAAAGCATCTGTTTTTTTACTTCTCGAGTAATGACTCAAAAAATGTCACGGAATATGTTTATATTTGTTACATTAGGTAACCTTTCAAGGGCGTCCGCAGGAAAAAAGTCAGGAAGGTGCTAATCAAAAAAATAATAATAATAATAATAAATTAACAAAATAAAACCATTCCCCTTGCCCTATCCGGACGCACATGACTACCTTATAATGCTCATAAAGTGCGACCCTTTCTGTTATCTACATTTATTATAAAATAGATCTGTCACTGTATTATGTACCAAAAATAAGAAAGATATTAGGTGGATATTTAATCTAAATAAAAAATTAAGCTTAATTTCTTAAAATAGAAGAATCACCACAACTAAACAACCGATATCAATGTAAGTAATCATTTTTTATAGAATCTAGATTGGCTTTTAATCGATCTATTCCAGCCAATTCGACGTAATTGCCTTCCTTGAAATGTGCCGCTAATAAAACTAATAAGTACTGGCCATGAACTTGTTTTATAAGTTTCCCGCCAACTCAACTTGGGTACCTTCTCTATGATAAATCGATTGCCAAAAAAACGGTAGACGTACGACGCATGACATGTGGGAGTAGGGCAGTTACTCGTGCAAATGCGAGACAAGAGCATGCGTACAAAATTAAGATTAGTATATTTTGTATGCGACGTTGTCATGTTTATTAAATAGTGTTTGGTTTTTACTCTGAATATTTATCAACGTTTTTTTTGATACACTTTTATACATTGGGAGTTTTTTTTTTGTTTCTTAAAGGATTTAAAATTATTCAAACTAATAAATTATTGAAGCGCTAGGGACGTTAAAACATAAAAAATATATTTGAAATGTAAATCTACAACTCAATGTAATATTGACGAGGAAGAATATGAAAGAAACAGAAATGATAGTGAAATATTAATGACCAGATAATGCTTCTAATATTTCTAATATTTTGAACATACATCCTGTAAATAATGACTCCATAACTTACGAAGCATCTACCAATATAATGGCTGACATTGTAATTGATTCAACTCCACAAAAAGAAGTTCTAGAGAAGAAAATACAAACTCCTCTTAGTATTAACATCAATATCACAGCTAGCAAAACTTTAGAGAAACCAATAATGACATTGCCATTTAAAAGAGTTTTGATCTGAAGAAAAAACGAAGATGTTAAAAAGAGTAAAAATGAACAAAATACCTTCACTTATAATTTCAAAACCATGGCAGGAATATAACAGAAAAAAGATGCTAGAAAAAGAACGAAAGGAGAGGGAAAAGCTTAACAGAAAAATTCAAAGGAAAAAAAAAGAGAAAGTAAAAATAAATTATAAGAAAATAAAATTAAAGATGATGAAGACGTGAAATAAAATGCAAAATCAGATGATTCAACCTGGAATATAGAAGATAAAGAAAGATACCAAGAAGAACATCAACTCTTTTACTATTATATAATTTAACTTTCACGGTGTTTTTACTATTGTAGATAGTAAGTTTTGGAATAATTCACAGTTAATAATCTGTCACTAAACCATTCAAACACATTTTTTAGATCTGACTCTACCTTATCCTTTAAAGTATCATAGTAGATAATAATTGTATTGTCAACAAAACTATTGAAACTTTCCATATTAGAGGTACAATAAAGGTCATTTATGTATAAATTAAAAAGTGTTGATCCTAAAACTGTCCCTTGAGGTACACCACATTTAACTGTTCTCATTTCACTTTGTTTTCCATTTATCCTAACGCATTGTTGACGACCACTCAAGTAACTGATCTTAAGATTGTTTACTATGCCTATACAACCAAAACATTCCAGTGTGTGGATAAGTTGAGTGTGGTCAACCGTATCAAACGCTTTAGCTAAATCAACAAAAATACCAATTGCGCGAAATTTTTTGTCTATATGATTTAATAACATTAATAATTGCATCTTGCGTTGATTTATTTGTTCTAAATTAGGATTTTTTCGAGTATTTTTGCTATAGTTAATATTATTGCTCACACTCATCATATCTTCACTCTTAAACAATGGTTTTATTGTAACCACTTTAAATAGATCTGGAACAGTACCTTTTGTAAAGCATAAATTAATTAAATTGAAATGTATTTAGCTATTACTTTTAAAGTTTCAGCTCGTATTTAATCGAAACCTGGTGTTTAGTTTTTATATTCTTTGTTCTCTTGATCAGTTTAATTTTTTATTTTATTCTATTGTTTCTAACTACGCAACTGCTTCCCTTCCTTAGAATGAGAAGTAAGGTTAAGAAAGAACATCAGATCAGGAAGTCAGTTTCGTGACTTCAGCGAGTCAATACGTTTGTTATTTTATTATAATGTTACAATGTTAAAATTAATATTAAATACAGTCCACGAAAAACAAGGTTTCTTTTAAACCCAAACACCTGGTTCTTTCTTGTTTTTAATCTTATTTATTATATTAAGTACCTCGTTTTCATTGGTTTCATATATATAAATTGACTGACTTGTATTTGTGTTGTAAGTTAGTTTATCTTTGTTTTTGTTATTTTTAATTTTACTTGCTAATTTGAGTCCGATTTCAGTAAAGTGTTCACAAAAAGTATTTGCAATTTTTAATTGATCATTCCTTACTATATTTACTAGCTTATATTTATAATTAATGGTTTTTTTTAACATAAACATCTACCCCTTCATTTTGGTTATATTCTCTATTATTATAAATGATTTCATAACCATCAATCTGAAAAAATGATATTTCTTTTATGGTGCAAGTTTCACTAAAAATAATATAATCAAATTTAAAATCAATTTCAGATAAAAAGTTATTAAAAGAATCAAAATTTTTATTTATACTCCTTACATTATGATGAATCATACTTATGTTAGTTAATTCATATTTCTTTTTACTTTCCTATCTGTATACCGGAAAAGGCCTATAATAACTAGATAGGAAAGTCATGTGTTGGACACATCCGATTTTTTTTATAAAAAACGTATTTTCGCCGGTATTTAATTGTAAAATTTTAATTTAAACACCCGGTATATATATAGATTAAACACCGATTAGACGTAAAAATCTGGTCGGACGGTGGACTGCAATTCAAATTATGTATTTTTTTCATAGGGAAATACACCTACGGTTAGGTTAGATAGATCTAAATTAGTCTAAATTAGATCTATCTAACCTAACCGTAGGTGTATTTCCCTATGAAAAAAATACATAATTTGCAACTGAAAGACGTGCTATTCAGTGGTATACGGACGGTTCCAAAACTTATTATATATTTTTTTCATAGGGAAATACACCTACGGTTAGGTTAGATAGATATTTAGATTTAGATCCCTATGAAAAAAATACATAATAAGTTTTGGAACCGTCCGTATACCACTGAATAAATAGCACGTCTTTCAGTTGCAAGAGCGATGGATTCTTGGCTCCATTCTTTCTTGCAGCCCAGCTCTGTGGTTTCGAAGTTTTTCACAAAACTGTACTTCTTTAGAATTTCATCCTGGGGCATGTCACAGGATCTTTAGTCCTGAAGCAAGTAGACTTTCGTTTGATTACTCTGTTCCTGATCATTCTATATAGTGTCTTTTTGCCACATTCTCTATCATCAAATGTAGAGGGGTGAGGTTTAAGATTCCCTGCTCCTTTTCAGGGGGTACTATCCTTTTTTTAACCTTAACTTATGTACTGAGAGATGATTTATCCCGTGTGTCCTCATATTAGACTACCAGAGGGACTATTTTTAAAGTATAGGAGCACTCATTTCTCTGTATTTAAAGGCCTCGAGGATTAACATTCTTATGAGAATTTTAATTATCTCTAAATAAACCGAGAGAAATAGTCAGTGGCTCTAAGAGCTCTAAAAATACTGTATGACATTTCTCTTGAGAAAAATGAGTTCTCTCGAGTTTGAAAATATCGTATTGGGATTTTCATTGGTATCAACGTGGCAGCGTCGCAACTAAAGGATTGTGAATTTGGATCGGATTCGCGTATCTAAGCGAGGGGAAGTAAAAACGCAAAGCACTTCGAGGTTTGAGAATGAAAAAGTGGATGTTGATATAAATATAAATTGTATTACTCCTATTTTTCATGTATAAATACACCGCGTTTTGAAGTTGTATATTAGTGATTCAAGTGACAATAAAATAGTGCTGGTAATCTCAGTGAACAAGTGCCAATAATTACTAAATAGAAATATAGAAGGGAATATTAGTGAAATTTTAATTTCAAAGCCCAATCAAGCATTTAAATGGTCGATTATGAAATTTTTTTGTAAATTATTACACTCTTCATTTTCGCATATATTCGGAAAGAAAAAGAAGAGGCTGAAGTTTTGAAAACAATTCCAAAATTATTATTTTTCATTGCATCAAATGCAATTTTTCATTTTTCCGACTGAATAGTACAAAACAGTAGGGATATATATATTTTTTTTTGGAATATTATTAATTTTAATTCGTTAACAATTTTTATTTATTATGAAACAATTATTTGATTAATTTTATTTTTGGTTTTCGAATAAATTTTGTATAATTTCGGGAATAATATAAAAATGAACGGGAATATTAGAAATGGCCATCGTAATCGGACATATCCCCATACTCAGTACACGTCAGTATTGCACGGTCAAAATAGTTTGAAGAAAAAGAATAAAGGTGAGACTGTTTTTTTTTATATTTTTCCATTCTTTTATTTCCTATGGAACAGATGTGTAAACCAGTTTTTTATAAATTCAAAAATATCTATTCAAAGTAAAATTCCACACGTGTTACCACAGCCGGTTTATTAATGTAACTGTTAAAATTAAGGTTAGGATTTAGGATACATAGTTGCCAAATGTTTGAACGACAGAGCCTCATTCAGCACTATTTTCAAAAAAGATAATTTGTTCCACAAATTATAATTTAAGAAGTAGATACTAACAACTAAAATGGTCGGACAATTATTTTTGTATACAGAAGTAACATTTAAAAAAGTCTAAAAAATAATATAAAAATAGATTAAATATTGTGCAGCGACCCCTTCGGGGACGCTGACAGGTTGAATACATAGCTCTTAAAATTAGGCAATATAATTTTATGGAAGAATAAATTATTCAAAGCAGTAAATAAAGTGTTTGGAAAGTCTAAAAAAATAAGAAGAAAACGTGGAAATTTATTTATTGTTGTTCCTAACTGAATCGTTTATTTCAGAAAAAACTAAGTTACTTTTTGTTCAATAAAGCCTAGGTCTATTAATTAATCATATAGTGAAAACAGCTTTTATTTTAGTTGAGGAAAATTTACTTTTATTCTACTTAAAATCGATGTATTTTTGAACCCTCTTCGAGGCTAGTATGCGAAAATAGGGCACCTAAACATGTCACTATCTGACGGTCTATAAGTAAATACTCCTCTTAATACAGAAAAATCCTAATTCTTGTAAACATCCTTAGATATATGGCAATTTAAAATTATCGCTTATTTCTGAAACAACGTTTTTTTCAAGTCCTGAAAAATTCTTAAAATGATTCTAAAATAAACGATTCAATTAATTAATCTACTTGTCCCCAAACTCACACCTGACTTGACAATTATTTAGCTATGTATTAATACTGGGAAATATATAATACGAGTATAAAGTAGGTCATAAAATTGTAGACGATTGTATTACACGTAATAAACTTGAGACATTGATAAATAAACACAGTAAAATCATTTTTATTTGGTTAGTTCGCGGCGTTAATTTAATAAAACTAATTTTTTTAAGGAAAAATAAATTAATATAACTAATATTTTACGGAAAAATCTTTTTTTAATGTAGTTCTTCCGAAACTACTAATAACAGAAAAAAACATTCTTGATCTTGAGGTTGAAAGAAAATTCTGAAACACTTGCTTTTTATGTATTTTATTCTAACTCTAGAAACAGAATGTTCATTATGTAAAAGTTACTGGCTAATAACTGTGAATACCACGCCCTCATTGTAGATTGTCATGAATTTCTTGACTGACAGTTATACGCGACATATTAATATTTAATTGAAAAACTCTTATACTATTACAATTATTTTCTTTACTTATTAACAATTATACGTTTTCTACATAACCAGTGACGTAGCCACGGAAGGGTTTTAGAGATCAGAACCCCCCCCCATTTATGCTATAATATTGACGCTGATCGCTATTATTAAAAAATCCGCCACTGTACCTAAGTAGGTACCAAATGTGAAATATATAACCGATCAATTGCACATTTTATTTGATTTTAAACCGCCAGACACATGTTAAATAAATATTTACGTACACCAGGCAATATGCCAATTTTTTTTATAACCTACATATTGGCATGAGAGAAATAACATAATGGGTAATGATTCAAAGTTATTAAGCCATAAAGAAATGCACTTTAATTAAGTGAAAATAAAATTGGTATTGGCATGCTATTTGCATTACTGCACTATGAAATAATCAATAATGACACAGGTACTAAAAAGGATCAAAAGTACACTGTTTGGTTCTTAATTAAATAAAGACTGTATAAAAATAAGGTATATATTACAAAAAACAGATCAGTCCTATACGAAATTAAATATCTGATGTACAGGGTTCACAAAATATCACACCATTTTTGGCGTTTGTCTGTCCTTCTATATTAGTCAATTAGTTTAAAAGCAATAATTCATAACCTTGCAAGAATTTGAGATATTAACTGAAAAGAATTCGTATACCTCATCCCAGTCTGTTTATAAGATCGTTGAAGTCAAGAAGAGAAAAGTTATAATATATACATGATATTATAAACAGAAGATATGATTGATATTACGTTACGGCGATATATTGTGGTGGAAGGCATTTGAGATATCAGTTAATCGAAAACGATATTGTTATTTTTAACATTTTCCGAAACGCGGTCTACATATTTTTAAATATAAACCTGATCTTTAAAAATATAACGTTTTTTTCATATTATGAGCAATTTCACTAAAAAAAAATTCTGTGAATTGGATCGTTCTTATTTTAATGAATACTTAGATATATATAAAAAAAGTATCAACAGCAAATCCACGTGTTCGCTTAGTCTTAGTGGATTTATCAGGTTACTTAACTTATATATTTAGAAGAAATAATTATTTTAAAAAGTATTAATTTAATTTCTGTTCTGACATTCGAATAGGGCTTAACACATATAAAATAATACCAATAAGTAAGACAATTTTCTAGATATATAAAAAAAATTTTATCAATGAAACATTCATCAACTATTATGAATGAGCTTCGGTTATATTCCTAAACAATTAATTATATCAGGTAGGTATGTAATTAATTAATTATCTTGTTTTTCATACAAAATTTGAAAAGAAATTTAATATTATGATTATGTACTAATTGGTTAGTAGTATATACTTTTGAAAAGAATAAAAAAAACCGGATTTCCGGATACATATAACAATCAAGGACGAAACTGTCTAAAAGTAAAATTTGCGAAAAAAGATTTTACTTTAAAATTAGAATGAAATAAAAAATAAATAAATAATGGTAATGGATTACATTAGTTTACAAATTTTAACTTTTTTTTGTACCTCGAAAGAAATGTATATAAACCTATTTACCTACTTAAATCTAAAAATATTATATCACATCACAATTTTTTCCTGCAGTCAATTGTTTATTTTTTCAACTACCCAACGTGCTGTTGACATTTTATTGTTTATTCGTTTGCTTAATTACTTTCAAAAACATAACATTTTTCGTTTTTTTTTTTTTCGGACAAATTTCGTATGATAGATTTCCGGACGAAATATCCCGTCAGCGACTCCATAGGAGTTGCTGCACAATGTCTAATCAATTTTTATATAACCCGTCAGCGACCCCGCAGGGGTCGCTGCACTATGTCTAATCAATTTTTATATTATTTTTTACTGTTTTATTAAATATTTACTATATCTTTTTTTTTTAACCTGTCAGCGTCCCTGAAGGGGTCGCTGCACAATATTTAATCAATTTTTATATTACTGGTCTATTATAAGAGAAATTGATTTAAATAAATATAAAAAAGAAATCAAAAATTGATCATTTTTAATTTTTTTTCAGTATTAATACCAAAATTATGTACTTAATCCAATTAAGTAAATAAATATTTCCGAAACCACACGTGACATAATTTTTTTATTTTTCTGAATAATTCTACCTAAATAAATAATAAATTAAAAACTTTCACCTGGAGTATGAAAACCTTGTAAATTAGTGTTATCGTTTATTTTAAAGAAAACTTCATCAATTCCCTTTTTTACTGCTCAAATTTCGAACCAAACGTATAGTAATCAATATTATCTTAGAGATAGGTAACTATTACACAAGCCTACGATTTTTTAACTATCTTTAGTTACTTTTTGGGTGCAGAATCCACGTAACCTATCGAGTTATATTCCCAGAAATACATATGAGAAATGTCGTTCTGGTTATTTTGCTTGATTAACCTTAACAACAGAATGCGAGTGCAAATCTGCGAATTTGTATTTTTACATTAATATTTTTATATCAATTTTAGCTTAGAACTCAAAAACATTGTTATTTTTCAAAAATAAAGTTTTTTTTAAAGACTTCGTAATCCTAAAATCATTTAACTTACGAATCCCTGTACATATAAATAAACTCTTTCAAACATTAATTCATCATTAATAAATTCTCATTGATTACAGGATGGTTTGGAACGAGGCATATGGTTACCTTCATGCTTTTCCTTGGTATGGCAAATGCATACATCATGCGAACAAATATGTCTGTGGCGATCGTGGCAATGGTTAACCATACCGCCATTGGTGGAAGCAACCATGATTCAGCTATCTCCGTAGATGATGAGTGTGGAGTTATAGCTGATAACTCCTCAGGAACAACAGTGAGTTTTACAAATTATATGTTTTTTAGATTAACTTTGATTTAAAATATTTATTATTGATTTATGAAAATTTATATAGGGTTGAAATTTTTAATTTATTGAAAACTAATAATTTAATCAAAATCAAAAATAAATCAAAATTACAGAAAAGCGCTATTTTCAAAATGACAATTACAATATGACCGCAAAATCCAAAAATTCCCTTTACAAGTTACGTAAAAGTATTATGTTAAATATTTAAAAAACATATGAAATGGTATCAAAAGTATAAATAATAAATTAATAAACACTCACCTACAATTGAAGTCACAGAAGCCCCATGTTCCATTCGTTGTCTCGTCTTTCCCATCCAAGTTCCAAAAACCATTTTTTTCACGACACCCGGTATATTTAATTCCGGAAATCTTCTGTTCCCGGCGACGATCTTTCATTCTAACCTCAATACTCATCGTTTCATAGCAAGCCTTCAATGCCTCCAGGTTGTTATTAAACTCAAATTTTTTTACTTGGTAACCAAAAAATTACATTTATTTAAAATTGTGAACTATTAAAATATGATATATACAAGGTGTTAAAGAAAAATAGTTAGAACTCTGAAAAGTATAAAGGGTTTTCCTTAATAAAGAATTAAAAAACTACATTGCTTAAAAAAATAAATAGTTGTTTGTACCTATTATTTATTTAAAGGTCTATCTATATTAAAAAAATACGGTTTTTTCCAAATAAGTTCATTTGAGTTTAATAAAAATCCTAAAACCATCGCCGTCCACTATTTTTGCAGCCTTGTCCATTCGATCTATACAGAATTCACACCTTCGAAAAACTAAGTCCTGCAGAATAATTTTCCACTCGTACTTTTTCCACAGAAAATAAATTCGAAAGGTATAAAGTTCTGAAGATCCAACGTATTTATTGTCAAAAGAAACGATCACAAACACACCACATCGTCTATGTCGATACAATAGGCAGAAAGATGTTTCTGCGCATGTGTCCCATCGGCATAAACGACGTCAACAAGCATGAGTTGCTTTTCGAAAAAAAAAAAACTAATTTAAAACCGAGTAAAATTGATGTATATCTAGCAACTCCAACACACTCCTACCCGTTACATTTTTCGGACTATAGCGATACGACACATTGATTTTAGAGCACTGAAAAGAAAGAAATAACAAAATTAGATATTTGAATAAAAAGAAAAATAATTTTGGAAATTCGGTGGTACCACTGTAAATATATTCTTTTAAATATCAATATTTCCGCCTCTAAAAGGCACACCATTGATCTACATTAAAAATATTACTTTTGTTTGCCCCTTTTTAAAACGACACGCCACTGATTTATATTGAAAATATTTACATATCGTACATCCGGTGCAACAACGCTGTAAGTGCAAAAACCTATTTTTTACAAGGGACCCATTTGAAAGTTTTGCTCGTCATAAATTGAAATGTATTAAAAGTCAAATGATTAAATAATTCATTATTTATTGTTTATGTTATATTTATCACTTTGCTGCACCAGATCTAGAAGCAGATTAGACGTATTTTGTGACTAAAAAGTCGCTTTTTAATATTTTTGCACTTATGACGTTGTTGCACCGGATGTGCGATATAGAAATAATTTAATTAGGTACCAACAAAATTTGAAATTACTTCCTGTTCTCTTAAGTAAGATAGGGGGAGGTTAAAGGTTTTAATATGCTTTTTGTGTCAAAATGTGTCCCCTTGACAAACAACCTACGTGTTTTTGGATTTCGCCGAAAAGTTCTTTTCCACCCTGTAATGCGTTGCGGTACGTTTTCGATGGGCCACTCTGTATTATGAATGTTTTAAATACATTCATGCCTAATGAAGGAGATGAACTCATAGTAGAGGAAAAGTTTATTCTAGAAGAAAGGGAGACATCATGAGTACCTCACCAATAGAAATAAGTACAGAAATAAAAGAAAATATGCGTGTTTTTGGATTTTGTTAAAAAGTTCTTTTCCACCCTGTAATGCATTGCGGTACGTTTTCGATGGGCCACTCTGTATTATGAATGTTTTAAATACATTCATGTCTAATGAAGGAGATGAACTCATAGTATAGGAAAAGTTTATTCTAGAAGAAAGGGAGACATCATGAGTACCTCACCAATAGAAATAAGTACAGAAATAAAAGAAAATATGCGTGTTTTTGGATTTTGTTAAAAAGTTCTTTTCCACCCTGTAATGCGTTGCGGTACGTTTTCGATGGGCCACTCTGTATAATGAATATTTTAAATACATTCATGTCCAATGAAGGAGATGAACTCATAGAAGAGGAAAATCCTACTCTAGAAGAAATGGAGACATCATGAGTACTTCACCAATAGAAATAAGTACAGAAATAAGAGAAAATCTGTAAAGCCTAAGATCTTATTACGGAAGAGATACTAAAACAACGTCCGAGGAAAGCTATAGTAAAACTTACACATCTATTTAATGCTAATATGACTCCAAAATACACCTTTCCTCCCTCCACATTTCAAAAAAATTGCTACATAAATAAAAAAAATTATGAGGATGGCCCATTTTCTAATGGGTCACTCTGTATATTGCGAATTTTTATATGGGGGCGTCCATTAATTACGTGAGGTGTTCAAGGGGGGGGGGGAGGGGATAAAACTAAATCTTTCTAAATCTCACTTGGGGGAAGGGGGGGTCTTCGTAAATCTCACGTAATTTTTTTTCTAGTAGGAAACGGTGTAAAATTGCGTAAAAGTAAAGTTAAATTATAGTAAAAGTATTTCTAGAATAAAATATGGAAAAATCTTATTATGTTTATTTATATTTTATTAATTTCCATTTAAGTATTTATCATTTAATTTTATTAATGTGAATTTAAATAATTGCAACACTCTCAAACACTAGTCTTTGCTAGTCTTAAATAAAAGTAATGGAACATATTGTGTTTTGGTTTTTTTTTTACTAATCCAACATATTTACACCCAAACACGAATTTTGAAAAATCTCACGTGAGATTAGGGAAGGGGGGAGGGAGTTAAGGAAAATCTTACCAAATCTCGCCAGGGGGGGAGGGGGAGTCAAAAAATCCTCAAAAATACCTCACGTAATTAATGGACGCCCCCTATCTATTTCAAATATGTTGCATGGGGTAAGAAAAATAAAAATTTATTGGTTACTATTGAATATAGGTCAGTTTTATCAAAAATAACTTTTTCTGAATAATCCAATAAAAAAATTTGTTATATGCAGCAAAGCTTTTAAGCCACTCTGTATATAATAACCCCTGGTGTTATAAGCTGGATGACATTCAAAAAAAAAAATAATATTTACTGCATTTTTTGATCTTCCCTCGTATACAGTTCAGATCAAACTTTTATCTACAAATAATTTTGTCTCATAATTCAAAAAGAAGTTTTACATAATGCAATGTTTTTGAGTTTCAAGTATACGATAACAGAGTGATGAGCTAAATGTGGCTAACTATTGTTCTATTAGAGAAATCAAATTTGAAATACTTATTTTTGCAGAAACACTGATACTGACTGATATTTTTATTGAGAAAAAGATAGTAGATATACCTACCTACCTAGCTTTTTTACATCTATCCACCTATATCTGTAATATATTTACCTAAATACTACCTCACATCCATAAAATCTTTCAGTAAATCATTTAGATTAAATTCTGAACTATTATAGTAAAATACAAAGTAAAAATTATTGCTATATCAAGGTACATAGTAATGCTTTTATAAAAAAAAATCTATAACACAAACGCTTACCTTATACATACAATATTGATGTATTCTCTTAAACCTGCATAGATTGGAAACTTAGAATACACTTCATTTAATATGGATTAAACAACTCGAAAAGTTCATTTAATTAAATAAAAATTATAACCTCACTTTAGTTATTGTACAATAATTTCTATCTGACATAAACAAAAGCCAAAAACCTGTCTGTGAAGTGATAGACAGGCCACTAGATTCGATTTGAAAACATGAAAATTATTTCTTCGACGATGATAATTCAAATTAAATGAGTATTGTACCTACTAACTAACATTTTCGATATACGTAATAAAAGCATGTAATAATTTTGATACCTATATAATTTTTACTTATATTTCAAAGATTTTTCACCAAGTATTAAAACTTCCAAAGCATCTCACGGTGTGTACAGATATCAATCAATCCCCTACACTTGATGATTTTATATTGAAAGTTATAGAGAAGAAAATAGCTTACCTTTTCTCGTAAAACTTTTGTTTCATGGATGAAACACACGTTTTTAATAAAACTAATAATTTTTGGATAATATTTCACGGAAAGTTCACGTTTGAAACAGACAGATGACAGATGCACAACAGACTCCGGCAGCAGAGGGCAGACATTTCTCATTGGTTAAAATGAGCAATGTTGCCAGCAAGTGCAATATTTTCGTAATAGAAAACGTACTAGATCATGCATAAATAACAGATTTTTTCTCCCTCACTCACATTTATCTATTTGAGACAGCTATTTTTGGTAAAATTTAAATATACCTACACAAAACTTTTATATTTTCGACACCTAGAATAACATATAATTAAACGAAATTTGTAGTCGGAAATCCAATTTTTTTCATATTGTAATAAAGATAGTTTGTGATTGGCCATTGAAAGATGCAATATAAGTACATTGTTGACAAGTTGTGTATTATTTCTTTAATAAAAGGACTATATTATTGATATATTCAAAATGTAAATATGAATTAGAATTTCAACAAAATTATCGATTACTATAAGCTTTGCCAATATACGCCGCTATCCGAACGGCTATTATTATTGAAATTTTACAGAAAGTTTCTAGACACTTTAAAACACATACGCAACCCAAATAATTATGTATAAAGGGCTTATGAGGATCATTTGTGTAAACTTATTCATTAGAATTATATTTGTTATGCTCTGTCAATACAAATACGCGGTGTTGCCAAGTTTTTTAAATAACGGCGTTTAACATTTTTAACAGACTTTACGTTATCCGATTTCTATGATTCTTTTTTTGATACAAAGGGGATAATTCAAGGGTGGTTCCATATAAATTTACTCAATATCCAATAATTGGGTCCATGAGAAAATCATCACTTTTCATTTTTTATGTATGTTCAGCGATAATTCTTTAACACGTTGTCAGATTTCTATGATTCGTTTTTTGATAGAAAGGGGGTACTTCAGGGGTGGTCCCTTATAAATTTGATCTAGATTCAGTAATTGGATCCATGAGAAAATCCTCACTCTTCATATTTTAGGTTTGTTCGACGATATTTCTTTAACACGTTGTCAGATTTCAATGTTTCTTTTTTTGTTAGAAAGGGGGTACTTCAAGGGTGGTCCCATATAAATTTGGTCTAGATCCAATAATTGGGTCTATGAAAAAATTCTCACTTTTCATTTTTTATGTATGTTCAGCGATAATTCTTTAACACGTTGTCCGATTTCTATGATTCGTGTTTTGATAGAAAGAGGGTACTTAAGGAGTGGTCCCATATAAATTTGGTCCAATTCTAATAATTGGGTCCATGAAAAAATCCTCAATCTTCATTTTTTATGTATATTCAGCGATAATTCTTTACCATGTTATCCGATTTCTACGATTCTTTTTTTGTTAGAAGGGGAATACTGCAGAGGTGGTCCCATATAAATTTAATCAAGGTTCAATAATTGGGTCTATAAGAAAATCCTCATTCTTCATTTTTTATGTATGTTCGGCGATAATTTTTTACCACGTTGTTCGATTTCTATGATTCTTTTTTTGTTATAAAAAGGGTACTCCAGGGGTGGTTCCATATAAATTTGGATAAGGTCTGATAATTGGATCCATGAGAAAATCTTCACTCTTCATTTTTTATGTATGTTAGTGACTGGGTAGTATTGATTTTTGATTTATCAAAGGTGTTGATTGAATTATTATTTCTATTGGATTGCGATTGGGACATATTGGTAACTTGTGTTAAATTATTTTTAGTACAATTGGCTAAATTATTTTGAACCATAGCTAGTTCACGTTTGAATGGATTTATATTGCTTTTATTACAATAAACATCTTAATATTATTATTTAGTGACATGAAATGTGAAATTTTACCAAATTTTTTAAAAGACAGAAAAATTACCTATTCCTATTACGAGTATATTCTAGAAAATCATTATGAATGTAATTACGAGTAATATTCCACTTAATCAAATTAGAATTTATTAAACAAAACATGTATCATCAATGCAATTTATATACTCAATTAATTTAATATCTTTATTTTTTTGTGGTTTAACGTTAGTAGTAAAATATAACGTAATAGTGATTATTTTTTCTAAGTAATAATTTATCATTTATTAGTGGTTTCAATAGTTATAATGACTATTCGCACTTTTATAATAGATAGTCAATACTGTCACGTTTCGTATAAACTCATGTATGATTTGAGAGAGTTTTTAGTAAATCTTTTCTTTTGTTAAGTTGTTGATTTGTTGAGTTCATTTCAGTTGTGAATCAAATGACGTGCCCAAGAATGTTACTTATTTCAGTTTAATGTTATTCAGGTTTTTTCTTCTTGTTAAATATGATATATATTTTGATTTTTCTTCGGAGAACATGAACAAAAAATTATTTAAAATTGTTATCGATTTCTGCAAATAATTTACTACATTTGTACTTTTTATATTGATTACTAAATCATCTGCGAATGAATAGATAGAAATATTCTAGGGGCAAGGAAAATTTCAGTTTGTTTTAGTGAGGAAGGACAAGGAAAATGCAATTCTTTGGATGTTTGTGCTAGTGGGTGGTGTGGGGAGTGAATTTTTAGTTTGTCGTGGAAAGGAAGGAAAAGAAAGATACGATTCTTGGTCGACTTGGTTGTTGTTGATTTGATGTAGGAGGTATGGAGTAATTTGAATCAGATTGACCTATTATGTAGCATTTTTTATCAGTTTATATCATCTATATAAAAATAAATCCTATTATAAGTTTTTTCGTGCCCTGTTATTAATGAATCAGGAAAAGACTGCCCTTTAAGGGGTAAAATATAAATGTGGCTTCTAAAGCTAAGGAAGTGGATATAATGAGATCCATAAATGTCATATTTGAGACCAATTTTATACCAAGCATTCTAGTTATTTTTCTATTATATTATTTGGGATTGTTGGACATACATTTGAAATTAGGAAGCTTAAAGATGGAAAGCTGAGTTTTCTTACGTCTAACTTTAAAATGCATTGTTAAAAGATAAATACAAACTCTATTATTAGCAATGATCTCTTTCTTTTCAGGCAAAAACCGAAACGGAGGGAGAATTTCTATGGCCGACCGACATTCAAGGTTATGTTCTCAGTTCGTTTTTCTACGGCTATGTGATAACTCAAATACCCTTCGGAATATTGGCCAAGCGTTACGGAAACATCTACTTTTTGGGAGTGGGCATGTTGATCAATTCGTTGTTCGGTCTTCTGGTGCCCATTTCCGCCAAAATGGGAATCTGGTGGCTGATAGTGGTCAGGTTTATACAAGGCCTGGGTGAGGTGAGTAGAGAGCTTTGTGAAGTACAGAGTAAGAGTATATATTTTTGTCGCAGTTAATATCAATTTTAATGAAGCGAACATGCCAGGTTTGTATATAGAATACTTTTATTTTTCTTCAATATCAATTTTTTATATAATTATTTAAATGTTTGAAATCTTTACATAATTTATCAATTCTATACCATCTATTTTATTTGGATTATTATTCCTGAAATGACTGTTCAAACTGATCAAAATTGATTAGAAAAATAATTTCTTTGAAAAAAAAAGCTGGAAAAAATAGTTTTATCAACTGACAGTAATGGTCTGGATTACTAACCTAATAAAAGGGCAAAAATTGAAAGACAGTCAAAGTATCAAAATCAAAAATGTAATTTCTTTAAATTCATTCATTTTTTGTGCGATATTTTGTATCTCCCTGTAGATATTAAAGGTTTCTTGGCACCATTTTATTAACTGCGGAACTTTTGTCTAATTTAACCAACTTTTTATCTGTTACTGTTTAAAAAGTAGTAGGAAAAAGTCTATTGAAAAAATATATATAAATTTATGTTGCCAAAACATTTTTAAACCTTGTATTAGTAAAGGTTAATTAAAGGAGACTTACTACCTACTCACTCACATACTCAGTTTTCTATTTTAGTAGATTTTGCTATTTTAGCTATTAAAGATCATCTAAAATTTCACTATTGAGAAAATGTAACTATTTTTATAACTTTATCGTTGATTTACTAATTAATTGTAGATTTCATGTATGATTTATCTATATGCAGACCTTTTGAATATGTAATATCAGCCTTGTTGGTGCTATAAATTAAAATTTCTGACAAAATTAAAAATATTTTTGAGGAATCTTAGTTTGGAGGCTAAGTTGAACACTTGTATCACTGGTTTTGATTATAGTTAGTTAAGATTTCTAAGAATTAAGAATACATTTCCGCCGCTAAGTGATGAAAATCTAAACAATCATCTAAAAACATCTAAACAAACATCTAAACAAACATTTAAACAAACATCTAAACAAACAGCTAAACAAACATTTAAACAAACATCTAAACAAATATCTAAACAAATATCTAAACAAACATCTAAACAAACAAACATCTAAACAAACAAATATCTAAACAAATAGCTAAACAAACATTTAAACAAACATTTAAACAAACATTTAAACAAACATCTAAACAAACAAACATCTAAACAAACAAACATCTAAACAAACAAACATCTAAACAAACAAACATCTAAACAAATATATAAACAAACACCTAAACAAAGATCTAAACAAACAAATATCTAAACAAAAATCTAAAAAACATTTAAACAAATATCTAAACAAACAAATATCTAAACAAACAAATATCTAAACAAACAAACATCTAAACAAACAAACATCTAAACAAATATATAAACAAACACCTAAACAAAGATCTAAACAAACAAATATCTAAACAAAAATCTAAAAAACATTTAAACAAACATCTAAACAAACAAATATCTAAACAAACAAATATCTAAACAAACATCTAAACAAACAAACAAACATCTAAACAAACACCTAAACAAACATCTAAAAATATTACTCTTAGATTTTGAAATATCACGTTTTTATAATTTTAGTTAAAATCAATGTACAATCCGGCAATGTTTCAACTGCTCCAAATAAATTTAATTTTGTGACAAAAATATTATAACCTCTTGCTCTTGTACTCGACATTTTATTACAATTGTACCTTTCTGGCCAGGGTCCTATTGTCCCATGCACGCACGCTCTCCTGGCAAAATGGATCCCTCCAAATGAGAGAAGCAGAATGGGAGCATTCGTTTATGCAGGTATACATTTTCTCTGCAAATTTGTGAAATTTTTTACCTACATGTAGAATAAATTTATTTTAAGTGTATGGGGTATGTATGAAAGGAAATTGTTTGAACTGTTTTGTGCAGTGTCCAGCAAGTTTGCATCGTAATCCTATAATTCTATAAAAATAAAAATGTTTTAAGGTATTCTATAATTTTGTAATTATAAATACAGTGATTTAACTATTTTTACTTTCCTGTCTGTATACAGAGTTTTCTACGATTTTTACGTTTTGAGTTTCCCTGAATCCGTTTTGACTAATCAAATTTTAATAGAACATAGTCGGAACATGTGGGGATACTTAATAGGGAGTAAATTGTTTATTTTATGAAATATTATGTTATTTACGCTTGTAGAAAAAAATTATTCAAATAAAAGTTGCTTGTAATGATATTCTATATAATTTTTATTTTATACATAATTTTCCTAACATGGTCCGTATTCTAGAAATTTGATTAAAAGTGCAAAATTCGAATTTTTAAGAAAATGGAATAAATAAAAATTGTTTGTTATATCATTCTCTATAATTTTGTCATATACATAATTTTTTTTAAAATTGACCGTATTCGAGATATTCAAGAAAAAGTTCGAATCTTGAAATTTTTCAAAATTAAAAGAGTACATCAACTTTTATTGTCAAGGGGATGAATTGTAATATTAAATTCATACACATACATTTAATCCTCTGCAGTATGGTCTAGTAACACATCATTTGAAAGGTTATTTTATAGAAAATTCAACAATATCACTATTAATTTTGCGTCGTTTTTGATTTTTGCGACCTCTAGCCGGGTAAAAACTGTTACATATTGTTTGAAGTGTGACACTTCATTAGGAAATTGATTTTATTATTTTTGAAAGAGTAAAACCAAATTTGGTAGATTTTCACACTTTTATTTTAAAAATAAAAATTTTTAAAAAAACACTAACATGACATATGTTTCGAAGTACAACTTCTTTTTCAAATGTGACTATTTACAATTCGGTATCCAATATATATACGAAATAATTTAACAAAACAAAGTACTTAAGAAAACATCAATAACATTACAAAATAAACTAACTATTTAAAGTAAATAAGGGTACTTAGGTAATTATAATATCCATCAAATAACAATAAGATAGCCCATTACCGGGATTATCTCACAGAAAACTGGGAAAGAGATTTAATAAGGGTGAATTATTAATATCTAATTGATCATTTAGTAAGTTATCTGAATTTTTAAATCTATTTATTTCAAGTGTTTCTAAATGGTTTAATTTAAAAAATCCATAATAACTAAACAAAAATCAGAACAGAACACAAATAAAATATCGGATCATACATTTTTTAAAAGATTTGTTAACTTAACCACCACAAATTTCTCTGATCCAGAACAATCTCTAATAGAAAAAGGGTTTAAACACAACATCGAACCTAAGATAAATACTTCGAACTTAGAAATTTTGGGAATAGAAACAAAAATTGCTTTAAAAGATTCATATAATACTTTGTCTCACAAATATCATACTGCAAATATAATTAAAACACAATTTTTACGTAATAACAATTCAAATCAAGACAGTAAGTTAATTAAAACTATAAAGGATAAAACAAAACAGGATGATATCATTTTCACTCGTACCGATAAGGGAAATACAGTAATTGCTATTAATAATATAGATTATATTGACAAAACTCTTTCATTTTTACAAGCAAGCAATAATTATAGCATACTCAAATTTGATCCAACAGATAAATATCAAAAAGAACTAAAACGTAATATTCAGGATTCAACAGCAATTTTTGATTCTAGAGAAAAATTCAAACTAATACAAATGAACCCTCAACCACCACAACTTTATTCTTTAATAAAATTACACAAAGAGAACTATCCTATTAGACCAGTTGTGTCATTTGTCACGGCTCCATCAGTTAAACTTTCACACACATTAATTAAACTTATACAAGAAAACTGCAAATTCAATTCAAAGTATAGTATAAAAAATTCTTATGAATTAACAGAAAAATTAAAAAACATTAAATTACCTAGTAACACAAAATTAGTATCGTTCGATGTAACAAACTTATTTCCTAGTATACCTCCTAAAGAAACAGTGAAGCTAGTAGAAAACTTATTAGATCGTAATCAAGTCAATATTATAATCAAAGAAGATATCCTAAATTTGTTAAACATTTGCCTAAAACAAAATTATTTTCAATTTCAAAATAACATCTACTCAGCAAATGAAGGTCTTATTATGGGGAACCCATTAAGCCCGTTGCTTGCAGAAATATTTATGGATAATATAGAAAATAAAATTCATAGCAATAATTTAAGTAAACATTGTCTGTATTGGCATAGATATGTTGATGATATATTGACTGCTTTTACTGGTACTAGTACACAGTTAAATTCTTTATTAGTTTTTATCAATACTATACACCCTAATATTAAATTTACTATGGAAACAGAGAAGGATAATTCAATTAATTTTTTAGACTTAAATATTATTAAAAATAATAAAGGCCATAGTTTTTGGGATATTTCATAAGCCATCACATACAGATATTACAATAAATAATAGTTCATCTCATCCATACAAACAAAAGCTGGCAGCATACAACAGTATGATCCATAGATTAGTTAATATTCCCCTTACCAAAGAGAACTTCACAAAAGAATTAAATATCATTAAACAAATCGCAGTAAATAATAATTTTAATTCAAAGTTAGTAGACAACATTTTAGAGAAAAAACTTTTTAAACAGGCTATTTAACAAGTTTATCCCATAATTAAAGATCCAAATTGCAGATATAAGAGTCTTACATATATAGGAGCTCCTAGTGAAAAGGTATCATCATATTTAAAAAACCAAAATATTAACGAAACTTTTAAAACCAATAATACGCTTGGGAAGTATATTAAAAACAATAAGGGTAAAACTAATCCTAATAATAAATCGGGGGTATATAAATTAAATTGTGGTAGTTGTCCAAAATTGTATATTGGTCAAACAGGCCGTACTTTCAAAAAACGCTATTCTGAACATTATAATAGCTATACAAAAAACAAAAATAATTCTACTTACTCAAATCATATTTTAGCTGAAAATCATTCTTTTACAGACAATTTTGAAATTTTACATGTAGAAAATAAGAGCCTTAAATTAAACCATTTAGAAACACTTGAAATAAATAGATTTAAAAATTCAGATAACTTACTAAATGATCAATTAGATATTAATAATTCACCCTTATTAAATCTCTTTCCCAGTTTTCTGTGAGATAATCCCGGTAATGGGCTATCTTATTGTTATTTGATGGATATTATAATTACCCTTATTTACTTTAAATAGTTAGTTTATTTTGTAATGTTATTGATGTTTTCTTAAGTACTTTGTTTTGTTAAATTATTTCGTATATATATTGGATACCGAATTGTAAATTAGTCACATTTGAAAAAGAAGTTGTACTTCGAAACATATGTCATGTTAGTGTTTTTTTAAAAAATTTTATTTTTAAAATAAAAGTGTGAAAATCTACCAAATTTGGTTTTACTCTTTCAAAATTAAATGGATTTTCATCAAGTAAAGGCCGAAACAATAAATGATTTTATTATTGATTTAATGCTTAGCATTATGTTTAACGTTCGAGATCTGCACGATTTTTCAATTATTTAACTACATGTTTTGTTATATTATGCATTATATTACTAATAAAATTAGCTTTCAAATGAAGTATAACAGTTTTTATCCTGCTAGAGGGCGCTAAAATCTATAGTAACGCAATGGCGTCATATTACTAAATTATTTATAAAATAATTACCTTTCAAATGATGTGTATAACTATTTTATTGAAACAAAAATAGTTGAATTGGCTGATTTGTACTGTATCGCAACATTTTTCAGATATTTACACCATTTTATAGAATTACGATGAAGGTTCGTGAGACTGTATCGTTTACTGTAAAAGTATGTTATATTTTGACAAAAATTTAACTCCAAATTGTACACTTTTTAATTTTTTTTTTTCTGTATTGAAATGACTTAAAACTCGTAAACTCAAGACATATTATGTAGGTACGTATTTGTTATTTAAATATATTTATTTTACTTTTGATTATCACATACTATTTTTCCAAATTCCCGTAAAGGTCGCAGATATCCTAAACGTTTTTATGAATTATTTTAATCGACTTCAATTCCCTAAAATGAACTTTAATTGGAGCAAATATCGGGATAGCAGGTGTCCATTCAATTCTACTAACTTATACCTGTTTATTTATGTTTGCTAAACTACATTCCTTATCAGTGTGCTCATTTGTATTGTCAATAATAGTAAGTGTAGTAGGTACTTATATTATTTATTTAGATAAAATTGAAAAAAAGCTCTTGTTGAATATTGACTTAACAATTTTTGCTACTTGCGCTTAATAATTATTCCAATGTTAATTTTTATCATGAATATTCGACTGCCTAGAAGCAATAACAAGTACTTCTGTCAAAATTTGTGGTTATGAAAGAAAAAATGTTATAAATTATATAAATATATCGTTAAATATTTATAGACTCGTTAACGGTATTGATCCATTAAAAATGTATTCCGATTCTCGATAGCTATTGTAGATCTGGCAACAGGGCGCGTTTGTCGAAACGACCAGTGATATATATCGTTATAGAGATTGCTCATTTATATTTAAATATGACTACGAAAAGCGGGTTACAAAAGTGGTTGCAATGCGTGCTACTGTATAGCCTTTCCAAATGTCGATTTTTTCACGAGTACTCTTTAAAATTTGCAAAAGTACTCATTTGTTTTAAGTATTATTCATATAAGTAGGTACTCATACTCAGATGCTCATTGTGAATAACTCAAGAGTACTTTAATGCAATACTTTTTTAAAAAAAGGAGAAAACGGACCAAAACGAATAATTTAAAAAAAAAGGAAAACCAACAAAAACTGAAGAAAATTTAAAAACTCGAAAATGAAG